CCTGGGATCCCAGCTCTGATGTTAATGATCATACATTCTTATTTTCTTTCCAGCTCGTGTAGCAGCCTTCTAACTAATTTGGTTCATAATTTTAATTGTATAATTATAAATCTTTTATTCTCCCATCATCTAATATACCTTTACTTGTTTTAGATGAGTAATACTGACCCCAGTTAAGATTTGTTTTCTTTAAGCTTCGTCTCCTTTCTCTTTTCTCATTCCTGTTGTTTGGTGCCCACAGATTTCCTAGTCTCGAAAGAGGGTACAGTAGACTTGGCAAAATGAAGTCAGTCAGCAAGCAAACCCAGAAAACAACTTACAGGTCCTTGTTGAATTGGAAGAGTAAAAGTGTGTGTTTTGTGGGGGAGGTCCTATTTACCAGAGAATGGAAACTGAGAAAACCCAAAGGGAGATCCCAGTGGCTGAGGCTTGAGAAGCAGCAACGAGGATTGCAGTGACGGACCAGACCAGAAGAGTCTTGGCCCAGACTGCTTTCCTCAGTGTTCTGCTCCAGAGTCAAGAGAATAGAAAGAAGTGGTGAGGGACAACTGACAGGCAGAACTCTTGACCACACAGTTGATTTCTAGGAGTGGGGGGCAGTGATTTTTTTTTTCTTTTTAGCATAAAAGCAATGGAATAATAGAGTTTTAGAAAGTGATAGAGTCTTTGAAGTCTTGTCTGACAATTTCTTTTTTAAATGACAAAGACTGAGAAGTCAGAGCAAGCTCCTTGGCTCAGTTCTTACGGAGCTGTGGAATGCCAGCTCTGTGCCTTTTCTGCATATTTGTTCAGTTGTGGGAGAGGGAAGAACTCAGCCTAGGTTGGGAAGCAGGAAGCCAGGGAAGTGATATGATCTGATACATATTCAGGAAGATGACGCGTGCTGGTGGAGAATGGATTGGAGTGTGGTAAGAGTGGAAATCTGGAGAGAAGTCAGGAGGCTATTTCAGCAGTTTAAGAATGAAATGATTGTGGCTGGAGGAAGGAATATGGGGAGAAGTTGAAATCTAGCAGACTGGGGTCTGTAAGTTGTGTGGGTTAAGGTGCTGGATTCCCACATAGCTCACCATGGTTCAAGTCTTGGACCCTGTAGTTGAGAATCACAGCAAATAAATAAGATAAATAAATGAATACATGTTCTTAAAAAAATCTAGGAGAACTGATGGATTGGATGTGAGAGGCGAAAGTGTAGGTGGAATCAAAGGTTTATGGCTTGAGCAACTGGATGGGTATAGCTACAGTTCCTAAGACAGAGAAGGGAGAGGAGTGAAAGCATGACTGAAGATTAGGGGATATCAGGGTATAGAGCTGGTACAAAGAACATTTGGGATGGAAAATGAAGATTTTCTCTTTGCTGACTTACTTCCCCAGATCTGTGGAGTTTGGCTTATTTCCCTGCATCCTGCTATATAGGTCATAGGACAGTTCTTTTTTCCACCAGCACACTTATTTTTAAAGGTTTTGATAAAAATTGTTATCAGTCATCTTATACTTTGGGAAGGTCAAGCTAAGGAAATAAGTTAGGAAAATAGTCTCTACTTGTTTGGACTTTTTATTTTTAAGAATTATTCATTTAATTAATTAATTAATTATTATTTTAAAAATTTGACGAGAGAGAGAGAGAGAGAGAGAGAGAGAGAAAGAGATAATGAGAAAGCAAGCCACCATGTCTGGGATTCAAACTGCAGTCAGTCATGTGGGAGTCCAGCACTTAACCACCATACCACCTGCTAGCCCCATTTGTTTGCCTTTTATTCTTGTATAAATGGAAGTGGAAATCCTTAGCATTTCTGCAGCCCAAATTAGGAGAGCCTCAAGTTGCATCTGCTGAAAGAACAAGGATGAAAGGACCATTTGGACAACAGATCGAGGAGTGGGGGCATGCCCCTCCAGCTTGCTGCTGCCGTAATTATGCACAGTCACCCATTCTGTCTTTTTTGAGATCCTCCTACTCCAGGCCGAGGGACTGGAAATATAGCAGGGTAGAAAGTAAGTTCTTGCCTTTATGGAAGTTACATGTCAGAGCACTGGTTATGTTGGTGCCTCACTGAGAAATTTCCGTGGTTCATTGCCTATTTTAACAGCATAAAAATCTCACTGCTCTGCTCAAATCAGACTTGACTCACTGACCTCAGACCACATCATTCTCACCTCCATGCCTTTGCTTGTGCATTTCTCACCCGCCCACCTTCTCTGCTCCCCTTAACCTAGTCAGGAGGACCCACACAGAACTGATACTCAGTACTGTAGGAGTGTGCTAGCTGGCATTGGGTATGACTGGTCCATGTCTGTCCTGAACTCATTCTTTGTTTTTTTGTCATTTTTCCAGAGTGTACGTGTATTCACGAGAGAGAGGCAGAGAGAAGAAAAGGTGAAAACTCTCCACTATGGGGAATGGTTGCACTGCAATCCCGTCCTTAGTCTCTCCCTCCTTTTGGGATTTTGGGCATGCACACGTGCACACACTTCAGCATGTTTCTCAATCTACCCAGTCCAGGACTTGAACCACAGGGTTGGTCAGTGTGGGATCCAGCTGCCTTTATCACCAGACCATGGAGCGCCCCTGAACTCATGCTTACCCTTTGCAGCTTCGGCTTTTACTCAGTCCCTGTTTAAAGTCCTCTGTGTTGCTTTCTCAGTCCTTAGTGGTCATCTTCATTTGAACCCAAGGTTCTAGTGGGATTATACGACTTATTTCACAAAGCTTACAGATTTTCATGGTACATCTGTCATATATTCAATAGTTGTTTGTATCTTTATTAAAAAATTTGGCTCGACTGCAGTGGCACTGGCAGTAGGGGGCTGCTATACAATGCTGGAGCCACATGGGAGGCCCTGGCTAGAGTGGATCCTGAACTGATTTGAACATGGCAGCATGGCAGTGTGCCTGTGATGCTGGCAGGCTGAGAGGATCACAGTGTGATGGGACCCTGCCAGCGATGCCTCCCCCCACTTCCTTTCAAAATAAACAAGCAGATAAGTAAGCAAGCTTTCAAAAAAATCACCTTTTCTTCCTAAATAGACAACAAACCTCTTGCGGAATTCAAGCAATAGGTATGCGTTTATTAATTGTTGGGTGCATTAGGAGAGCCTCAGCATCTCCTAACTGCCTGCTGGGGACTGAAGTGGAGAGGAACTCCATATGCTGATATTTCATGTCACTTTGACTATTTCTAAACAATTCCATTCTACACAACCTTCCTCTATCCCCATCTCTTGTCTTGGACTTGTCCCCATCACCTCAGGTTTGCCCGGGCATGACCATGCCAACACCCCTCAGGATGCTTGGCTAGTTTTCTGCATTAGGAGGACGGTGGGATGTCTTGCTTGCCAGCCAGTTTAATGCAGGCTGACACTCCTGGCACACTGAATTAAGGTGGAGGAGCCAACAGCCCCAGAGAAGAGTCTATTTCTATGGAGATTAAAACAAGAAAATGATGGAGCACAAAACACGTTTATATTTTCCTCCTATATTTAAATGTAAAGAAGATAGTAATTAAGCCAGACCAGAAGATGAGTTCTGATTGTTAATTGCTGGGGGCGATGCAGATTTTAATTTATCTCAGTTCATTTGCAGAATGAGGCTGACAAAGTACATGTCCTGTGCTCTTGCCCATGGTGTAATGCTGACAGTTTGAGGATTAATCATTTTTGTGTGTTTTTGATTTATTATTTTAAAACTGTAACTGCAGTAGCTTTCCCCCCTGTGGGAAAAATGTCGTAGCCTTTTATCCAAGAGCATGTGGCTTCAGAGTCATGACTTTTACAGAGCAAAGAAGGCCTACAAATTTACTCAGATCATCCGCAAATTATTTAACAGGTCTTCCATACTTCACTCCATACTTCACTCAGCCTGTGGGCTGAGTTAGCCAATTGAACAGTCTTTAGACCAAGACGCTCCACGGGGCTTGGTAAAGTGTTTAATGTTCCTATTTCTCATTGTAAAGCCAAGTGGGTACCCAATACCCACTGTGTACCTACATGTGTCAGGTAACTGACTCCCAGGCAATGAAGGCAATGTTGGGTGCATTTTGAATAATGCTTTAGAAGTAATGCTAATGTCAGATGCAGGAGGAAGGGCTCAGTTCACTGAACCCAGTCATCAGCCCTTTACTGAGCACCTCCAGATTGTGAGTCATGGAGTTGGGAACCATGAAGGCCAGGCACAAGGCAGCATTTTCCTCCTCTAATTGAGCATTGACATCTTCTGGGAAACTAAAAAATATAGACGTCTAAGCTCCACTCTACACTTTGATGGAATTTTAAGGTCTAAAACACAGTTGGTCTAAAACACAGTTTTGTTTTCAGCGCATTTGGAATCTAATTTGGAATATAGGACTTCTGTATACTTGTATTACTTTGCTTTTTAGCTCCTTACACACAACGAATGGTCAGTTTAAGGGAGATGCATGAACAACATAATTATTGTATTTGAGAGAGAAACTAATCACTAGAGGCCAGGGTGGTAGGTGGGATTTGAACCTAGACCGTACTAATGAATAGGATATAAATAACTATAAAAGAGCAGAGAGGGCATTCTGAAGAGAAGACTAGCATAAACCTAAGCTGAAAGGCAGGTTGAGAGGTATGTACTAGATATTAATTGGGTATTAGTTGGAAAATACTGAGAAATCAGGTATGTTTATGTGGAACCTCGGGCCCAAATACCTGGACTGAGTTCTGTGCATGCCATTAAATGGTTGATTACGTTTACAAGTTATTTCATTTGTTTGTGCTCCAGTTTCCTCATCTGCCAAATGTGGGTGGGACAGTAGTTGTTTGGAATCAGTAAGGTAACGTGCAGACAAGTGCTAGATAAACAAGAACCCCGCCCAGTATTAGCTATTGCAGTTTTCTTTGGGAGAGGAAGGCATTGATGTTTTTGGAGCAGAGGAATGAAGTATAAAAAGTGTTACTCATTCATCCTAATTATTTGTGAAAGAAATGAGTGACAGTGAATATTCATCATTACTGAATTACTTAATGTAATTGTATTTAAGGACTTGGAGTTCATCCTTCAAAAAAGAAGATCACCCTAACTGCCCACAATGGCTACTGCAGAGACGATGACCAAAAAAGTAAAATGTGAGTATCTGTTCTGATCTGACAAGTTGATGCACAATGCATGGCACTCCAACTGTTTTAACCAATATTTTCTATTAATTAGCAACCCTCAGATGGGCCAGCAGGTGGCATGGAGTTTAAGGTGGCTGGATCTCACATGGCCAACTGTTCCATTTGGGTTCTAGACCTGTTAGTTTGAAAAACATGGCAGGTCATGTCCAGCAGTTAGCATAATGGCTATGTTGCTGGACTCCCATGTAGTCAACTGTGGTTCACGTCCTGGACCCGGTGGCTTAAAACTCACTCCAGGCGCGTGTGCGTGCATGCTCAAGATCCCGAGAGGAGAATGGAGGAGAAGGGATTGTGGCGTGACCATCCCTCCTGGGGGGTGATTTCTCGCTTTCTGTTTCTCTGTCTATCTCTGTCTGTCTGACGAGTGCATGCGCCCTATAGCAAAAACCTCTAAAAAAAAAAAAAAATGCCAGGCGTGTGTGCGTGTGTGCCCAAAATTTCAAGAGGAGAATGGAGGAGAAGGTATTGTAGTATGACCATCCCTCCAGAGGGTGATTTCTCACATTCCCTCTCTCTCTTTCTCCAGTGAGCACACGTACCTTATCACAAACAAAAAACAGAACAAAACAAACAGAACCCTCTGAGCACTATACTTAATTGGTACACTTTGTAAGAACACATCTCATTTCCTTTACTTAAATATAATCAACTTTCAAGAGATCTATAGCAACTTTTTTCCTTTTAAGCACCAGAGGGCACGTGTGTTCTACAGAGAAAAATAGGGAGAAGGAGAGGGAAAAAGTACCTCCCTTGGGAAATGGTTATGCTACAATTCCTTTTCCTCTGTTTTTCTATCCTTTTAGGATTTTGGACATGCATGCACATGCACTAGATGTGTTTTTTAAGCCACTGGGGACTGGGTTGGAACTGTGGTTGGCCATGTGGGATCTGGCTCCCTTAACTACTAAGATATGGGTTTGCCTCTGTAGCAACTTTTAAGTTGTTGGGTACTCTGAAAAGTCATGACATATTTTTGCATAGAAAAATACTTTATGACTTTTCTGAAGACCCAGCAGTATGCCATCTGATATATCCACAGGGCACATGTGGGTGACTGTTCAGTACTTGAGATGTGACTAGCAATACTAAGGACCTGAATATTTAGTTAAATTCTAATTAATTGTCATTTCAATTTAAAAATATATAATTCAGTTATTGCAAAATATTTAAGTATATTTGAAATAATCTAGATGTTTTTCTAATGAATATTTTATTAAATTTAAACACAGATCAAATATTTCTGATAAAAGTTCAGCATATGAATTAAGATGTGTTAAGGTGCAAAATATATACAAGATTTTGAAGACAACAAAAATATTGTAAAATGTCTCATTAATTTTTAATATTGATTAATGTTGAAGTGATACTATTTGGGTATATTTTATTTAAAACATGTAACAGTTATATTTATTAACATTAATTTAATTTTTACTTTTTTAATATGTCTACTAGAAAATTTAAATTTACATATAATTTACATACATAGTTTACCTTTTCTTTGGCTTTATTGAGGCATAATGACAAAGATATATATCAATATATATCTTAATGTGTATAGTGGGATGTCTTTTTTTTCTTTTAGATAGATTATTGCTATAAGGCATGTGCGCTTGCTGGAGAGACAGAGACAAAAAGGGAGAAATCATCCCCCAGTGGGGATCGTCACACCACAAACCCTTCTCCTCTAATCTCCTCTTGGGATTTTGGGCACACGCTCACATGTGCCTGGTGTGAATTTGAAGCTGCTGCATCCAGGATTTGAACCGTGGTCAACCAGGTGATAGTCCAGCAATATAACTATTATGCCATCTGCTAGTTCTGGGATGTCTTGACCTACTATACATTTTGAAAATTATTACCACAGTCAAGCTAATTAACATATTCACTTTATGTAGTTACTTTTCTTTTTTGAGGTAAGAATGCTTAAGATCTGCTCTTAGCCAATTTCGAGTATCTAATACATTATTATTAACTATACATTATATTTCTTGTAGAGTTGATATAGACTTACAACAGGGCATCCAGGCCTAGGTAGTGTGCTTGAGAAGTATACAGTGCTACACATGGTGCCACGCTGTTGTTCTTCTGCCAGCTCCCCTTGGTTCTGTGACCCGTGACTGTATATGACACAGGCCAGCTGAGGTCTAACTGGGCCTACCAAGAGAGTGCTGTAAAAATAATTTTTAGCTTGCTTTCTATTTGGATAATATAGCAAATTTTTAAAAATGGAAAGGGCAGGAAGGGAGGCAGATTCTGAAGTGGAGGAGGAATGTTTTCTAGTTTCATTTTGCCTTTAGGTCATGCCCATAATTACTTAAATTATATTTGGAGTCTTGATTCTATGAGCTCGAAATGCTCCTATATCTCCTTAGCAACCTAACCCCAGTCTGGAAAATATGAACATAATAAATTGAGGGAAATTGAGGGGGTGCACTGTAAAACCTCTTTAAGGCATGTTGAAAACGTGTTAATCATTTATTGTTGCATAGAAGCGTCTTAGCTAAAGAAGACTAGAGCGTAGGGGGGAAGGTGAGAAAAAGTGTGTAAATGGAGACAAATCAGCAAGAAGCCTTTAACCCGGAACTGAAGATTGGATCTTAATGCAGAATGTGTTGTGGAAAAAAATGGTTGAGTATGTGTTTTAGGAGATGATAACCATTTGGCATTTGAAGTTTGGGTTTTACTTGGTTATTTTAACTCTTTTTTGGGAAGATATTAGAGCTAATTTATTTTTTTCACTTACATGTCATAGAACTGATATACACTAGTTTATTTGAGGTTTTGCCCCAAAAGCTTCTATTCACTTTCCAACTTCTACACCTCTTTACCCTGGAGCTAATGACTTTAGTGCCGGCTTCTCCCCTCACTAGCTTTTCTTCTCACCAGCTTCTCTCCACTCCTCACCCCGCTCTTTCCTCCATCTGGATTTTCATAAAAGCATGTTTGGAGGAGATCTTTCTATACATGCCACGAATACTTTCAGCTTTGTTTTTTCTTTTCTTCTTTTTTTTTTTTTAATTTGTTGACTGTGTGTTATTTTTAGTCAAGCAATTCTGTACTGCAAAATAAAACTTAGAGCTCAAATATGTAAAACAGATAAGGTCTGGGCTAGTGTGATTGAAAGAAGGAAGAGTCCCCTAGGCACATGAAATTAATGAAGCACAAATTTAAAACAACTGCCTTAGCCTGGGTTTGATTCACTGTTATTTCTCTGGGGATATTTCTCCTTATTTAAACCCTATTTCCAATATTATAATGTAAAGCTTTATGTCTTTAAGGGGAAATTCTTGTATTTAGTGAGCTGGCGGTAGGGGGTGTTGGTGGTTTATGTTGGCTTTTATCACAGCATGGATTTTACTGAATACCATGGCATTTATGGCATTTATTTGCAGATTTTTCTGGCACTAGACTTTTAAGCACCTGGAAGATAGGGCTTGCTTGTGTCTTATTTATTTCAGCACATTTAGCACCGTAACAATATCTAGCACTAGGAGTTACCTAGTGAATGTATGGTGAACTAAATCCCGTTTTGGCTGAGGTATGCTTTTCAGAACTCCTGTGAAATCAAACACAGGTAATCAGGCATGTTCTCTGATTATATGACACATATGAAGATGACCTTAGCCATGTGTTATATATCTTTGTTTGGGATTGTCTTTTTGGTAAATTCTTGTGAAGAACATAGCCTTTTAATGGGAAGGATGGAAACCTTCTGAATATTGTCAGTTATTTTTGTTACATGTATGAAAAACGTGCTTATAAGTCCCAGAGTCTCTTTCAATGAAGAGAAGACTGTCCAATGATTATAATCAAGAGATGCCTCATTCCATGTCATAGTTTCCATAGCTAGATTTCTTTTTGTATCTTCCCTTCAGAAACTATACAGAACTTCTAAAACAGTAAGAGAATTCAGCAGATTTTTTTGTTTTACTATTTAATTGCCAGAGTGTACATGTACTTGCTAGAGAGAAACAGAGAGACAGAGAGAGAGGGAAAAAGCACCACCCACTGGCGTGTGGTCATGCCACAATACATTCTCCATTTGTCTGTTCTATTGAGATCTTGGGCATGAATGCACATCTGGTGTGTGTGCGTGCGTGTGTTTTAAGCTGCTGGGACCAGGATTTGTACCATGGTCAGCCATGTAGGATCTGGCTCCTTCAACCACTAGGCCATGGGACTGGCCCAAGAAATCTGCAGTTTTAGGAACCATTATCATAATAGCATTAAACTAATGAGAGAAAAAGAACCAGGTGGTTTTTTTTTTTTTTTGGTAATTTGTTATAGGGTCATGTCCTTTCTGGAGAGAGAGAGAGAGAGAGAGAGAGAGATACAAAGGGAGGAAGCACCTCTCGGGAGTATAGCCACACTTCGATCTCTTCTCTTCCATTCTCCTCTCAGGATTTTGGATACTCACGTACATGTGCTCAATGCATTTTCCCCGCCATTGAGTCTGGGACTCGAACTGCACAGCTAGCTATGTGGGATCCAGTTGCCCTAACCAGCATGCCACCTGCTACTCCAAATCTTTTTATTTTAAGATAAATTTAAGAAAATATTTTGGGCTAGTGAAAACTTTTGAAATTAGAGGTACTCATAATTTATTTCACTGTAGAATGTTAATGTTGATATTTACACTCATGTTTTAGGTAAGTTTAATATAACCATTTCAATCCATTCATGAATTTTATTATAAAAAATTGTTATTGTTTATAATTACTTACTGTTGCTTTTTGGTATTTAGTAATTTGAATAATCCCAAGTATGAGGAGATTTTATTATCTGTGAATATATTAATTAATTAGTTTAATTAGTTTGGATAAAATAACTATACTACTATTTAAACTAAATTAGAAAGTCATTTAGCTTTATGCTGTTGAAGAAATGAACACTGACTAATGAAATTAATTACACAAACATGATTGGGGAAAAGTTTAAGCCCAATGAGTAAAATAATAATATTGACAATAAATACTCACATTTATTGAAAACACAGTATATGCCCAGTGCTTGTGTTAAGTGCTTTTGTCACAATGTCTAAATTAAATGTCACAGTAATTCTTTGTGATATATGTTATTATCCTCATTTTACAATTGAGAAGTCTAAGGTTTATGAGCAAATTGGAATTCAAGCACAGAAAAGTGTGATTCAGGATTTTCAAATAAGCAAAAGAGAAGGAACAGACCTTGACAAATTCCTTTGATAATTTAGTTTATGAAGTGTGCTGGGATGTATAAAAGCTACATGTTTATTTACCTATCCCATTGTGAACAAAGAAACTGAAGTCTCGGGCCACGGGGTGGTGTGATGGTTAAGGCACTGGATCCCATGTGGCTGGCTGCGTGGTTTGAGTCTTGGACCTGGTGGCTTAAAAAACATGTCAGGCACCTGTGAGTGTCCAAAACCACGGGTGGCCATGTGGGATCTGGCTCCCTTAACCACTAGTCTATGGAATCTTTCCAAAGCTACAGTTTAAGTAAAACCCAGTGACTTGGCCATTTCGTATATTAATAAGTTATATTTCTTGTCCTGTACATGATATATGAAAAAGTTAGAATTATAAAGGAGATATGATTAGTCAGAAGAAGGAAGTTCAGGATTGTTATGAGAGAAGGAAAAAAGAGGACAAGGTTGTGGAGTCACACCTGGGAATAGTTCACTGACTTTCTTCTGGAAAATAAATGTTCTGACCAAAGACCTCCTCAGAACAGATTTAGATTTTAGTCACAATTTGATGAAACAGAAAGGTTTACACTTGAAAGTAGCCAAAAGGGCGAGTCATGGTGACGGTTTTAATTCCTGAACTCTTGTCTGTTCATGTAAAGATGGTGCCTCTTAAGGTTTTGAGTTGGGAAATTCACAATGAACGATTTTGTGCTCTGTATGTGAATTTGTGCTCCAGTCTACACAAAGAATGACCACATGTCTCCAGAAACATGTGCGTGAAGTCTTGACTATTTTTCACTGAAAAGGAGGGGAAAAAGTGCCACCTGTTAATATCCTCAGACATACGTAGACAGCCCTGATTGTGGGGAGACAGGGGGCAAGTGCAGGAGGTCAGGGAGATCCGGTAATGACTTAGCAACGTTTCCTAGTGAGGAGTGGAGGGAAGGGAGAAGACAGCAGTGGAAGTGCTCTTGTTTCCAGACCTGCAGAGAGACATCCCAGTGCTGTTCATCTTGAAGGGGCCTCTTTTGTATCCTGCCTCTCCTAACCTGGCACTTTTTAAAGTGGGTGAGAGTCCCTTCATTCCTCTCTTTTTGTTAAGAGTTTCCCTCAGGCTTCCTTCCTCAGAACCTCATTGCCCCAAACTAACAGCTCCCTGTGGCCTATGACTGCCTGGTGAAAAGTAATGGGGTATTCGTGCAGGAATGAAGAGACAGTTTTATCCTCAGTACTTAATTATGACATTTTTAAATACATAGCAAACTTGAAAAAGATTTAAAATGAACATTCATGTACTGCGACCCAGTTCTCACTGTTACTGTTTTACTGTCCTTATCACATATCCATCCATCAACCAACATGTACATCATAACTTAGATTTGGTATTTGCTTATAGTTTTATTCATTTATTTTTAAAAAATTTGCTACACTCATGTGAGGGAGTGGGAAAGTGAGGAGCACCCCTAGGAGAGATGGCCTCACCAAATCCCTTCTCCTCCACCTTCCTCTCCGCATTTGGGGCACACACACAAACACACACACACACACACACACACACACACACCTGGCATGTTTTTTAAGCTGCTGTTAATATCCTCAGTCTTGTTAATATCCTCAGTCTGGGACTTGAACCACATAGTTGGCCACATAGGATCCAGTAGCCTTACCCACTAGGCAACCTGTCTGACCCAGTTTTTCTTCTTTTGATGCAAATGTACATAAAATAAGATATAGAAATCTTATCTATGCATTCACTGAATTATACTAATCACATCTACCCATGTAATCCAGATTTCTCTGAAGATATAGAGCATTACCATCATCCCAGAAATTTTCTTTTTTTTGGGAGAGGTTTTTTCTATAGGGCGTGTGCGCTCGCCAGACAGAGAGAGACAGAGAGACAGAAAGCGAGAAATCACCCCCTGGGGGGGATGGCCATGCCGCAATCCCTTCTCTTCCATTCTCCTCTTGGGATCTTGGGCAAGCACGCACATGTGCCCGGTGTGAGTTTTAAGCCACCGGGTCCAGGACGCGAACCGCGGTCGACTACATGGGAGTCCAACGACATAGCCATTACGCTAACTGCTGGTCCCTATCCCAGAAATTTTCTTCATGCCCCTTTTTGACCAATCCATGCCATTCTCCAGCAGAATCACTGTTCTATTTGTTTTTTTTTTTTTTTTTTTTTTGTTGTTGTTTTTGTTTGTTTGTTTTACCATAGATAAGTGTTGTCTGTTCTAGGGCTTCTTATAAGTGGAACTGTACAGTATGTTTCTTTGTGTAAAGCTGCTTTAACTTGGCATCATGCTTTTGAGATTCATTCATATTGTTATGCATAATAGTAGTTTGCTTCTTTTTTTTTTTTTTTTTTTTTTTTTTGAGAGATTTTTCACTATAGGGCGCGTGCGCTCGCCAGACAGACAGAGAGAGACATTAGAGACAGAAAGCGAGAAATCACCCCCCAGGGGGGATGGTCACGCCGCAATCCCTTCCCCTCCATTCTCCTCTCGGGATCTTGGGCACGCACGCACACGTGCCCGGCGTGAGTTTTAAGCCACCGGGTCCGGGACGCGAACCGCGGTCGACTACGTGGGAGTCCAGCGACATAGCCATTACGCTAACTGCTGGTTCCCTAGTTTGCTTCTTTTTCATAGTATTTTATTGTATGAGTGTGCCATGGTGTATTTGTCCATTCTGTTAATAACATGTTTGGGCTGTTTCCAATTTTGAATGATGAGTAAATCTGCTGTGAACATTCTCATACAAGTCTTTTGTAGATATAGGTTTCCATTCTGTTTGGTGAATAACCAGGAGAGGAATTGTGGGGTCACAGGATAGGTGTGCATTTAGTTTTATAAGAAATTGTCATGCCTTTTCTGAATTGATTATTCTATTTCACATTTCCACCAGCAACATGTTTGCATTCTAGTAGCTCCACATCCTCACTAACATTCAGTGTTATTGGTCTTTTAGTCATTCTGGTGCATACGAGGGTATCTCATTATTAAATTGGATTTGTGTGAAGATGGAGTGTTTAATTGCTTAAAATTTGTATGGGTGAAAAGAAAGGAGCAAGCCTTGATCCTAAGAGTACTAAAGGAGGTAGAACTATAGAAATGAGGAGCCTCCTGACCAGACTGAAAAGCTCATTTGAATGGGTAATATATTTAACTTTTAATTTAAATTTTGAGTCCAGATTAAGAGGAGGAAACCAAAACACATTTATAAATGTCAAATCAGCCACATAAATAAAGGAAATATATAAGGAGGAAATCTTAGACAAGATGAACTAAGAATGATGTAGTCCATGTACATGCTGTAGAATTCTATACATAAACCTTACTTAAAAGAAATGAAGAAACTTAGAAAAAATAAAAATGAGATATGTTATCTTATTTTTTTTTAGAGACATTTTGCTATATGCTATAGAATACATGTGCTCACAGGAGAAACAGAGAGATAAAAAGCAAGATATCACCCTCCAGAGGGGATGGCCACACAGCAATCCTTTCTCTTCCATTTCCTCTCGGTGTTTGGGTACTCGCACACATGTGCCTGGCATGAGTTTTAAGCCACCAGGTCTGGGACTCAAACCATGGTCAACTACATGGGAGTCTAGTGACATAACTATTACTCCATCTGCTAGTCACAAGATGTGTTACCATTATAATCCACTCACTTGTAGGTGCGGAGATTTTTTACTTCAGTGCTGTTCTTACTTAGTGAACTTATCAAGGTATCTTATTTTGCAGTTATTATTTTATAAACAAGATACTTACCATGTCCAGCCACAAGCATTCATCATCACATATAGAACACACAGACTTGTTAATCTTTTGTGGCCCAAACATGTTGTTGAATCTTCTGTGTAATAACATTTAAAGAACTTTCAGAGCCAACGATATTCAGTCTTAAGTGGTTTTTTTTTTTTTTTTGACTTTAATAGTTTAGGTTAATCTATGATATCACTGACAATTACAAGCTGATTTTTCTTTTTATCAAGCAAAATATTATGTAAAGGAGTCATTTCATTAACTTTTGCATCCACTTATAGTGTCCACTTATAAAATTCACTTTTATAATGTCCTATAAAGTTCACACTACCCCAAAATTAAAATTTTATAGTTTCAGCATTTTGATTCAGAAAATGCATTAACGACTTTCAAAAAAAATGTTTTTCTTCTAGGCCCTACGTTAGAAATTACTAAGCAAGACTTTTTTCAAGAAGCAAAAAGTCTCATTGCCCAACATTATGAGAAAATGAATGAGGTTAGTGCTTTGCAGTTATTATCTAACATCATATTTTTTCAGAAGACCCATAACCGATTTTGTATACTGTAATTAAAGCATTGTGTGAACCCTAATATGTGACAGGTTATGAATGCAAGAGAAAATAAAATCTTTACTAACTATAAAAATTTATTTCAGATGACATTTAAAAATATAATTTTTTAGTTACACAAATTATCTAATTATAGATTTAGTAGGAGACTTCAAACAGTTTGGGGAAAAATGGAATTTAAATACATGTTTATTTTGGTGCAAAAAGTTTTTGAAATTCACGCCCAGTTTTTCATAATATGCACTATCCACAAGTTTTTTGAAGACCCATCCCATGTATTTAATTTGCATATTTAATATGTTAACATTTTCTTTTAGTGAATTACAACAGAAATACCTGGATTTATCAGAAGTAAATATCCCTTTAAAAACTATTTAGGCAAAGTTAAACTTGAAAATGTACTGCAAGGTGTGTCCCTCCTGTGCCCCTAGCATGACACCTTCGCTGTGTCGTCTCCCACTTCACTTCGCATTAGAGCTGCCTGCCTGTCTGATAGCTCCTTGAGGGCAGAGACTGTCTTTTATGAATATTGTATCCACAGCCCAGCAGTGTGCCTGACTTCATAAATATTTGCTGGGAATAGCATGCGTTTGGAAGATAAGAAGGGATGAAAAGAAAAGATATGACAAAGGGATAGAGGAGGTTTAGACAGGGAGACATTTTGGAGGCCAGCATCCAGCGGAGGCGAGTAATTTGGGGGATGAACAACTGTTGTGGTAAATGGGCCTTTGGAGAAACAGGATGGTTTACTGTGTGACAAACAATTTTATTCCCCTGTTGAATATTTTTTAAAAATTATGGTATTTTAAGAAAAGATTTTTGTACCAGCAGATGACGTAATGGTTATGTCACTGGACTCCTATGTAGTCCATCACAGTTCAAGTACTGGACCTGGTGGCTTAAAACTCAGGCTGGACACATGTGCATGCATGCCCAAAATCCTGAGAGAAGGGACCAGCAGTTGGCTGTGTCGCTGGACTCCCATGTAATTGACCACGGTTCGAGTTCTGGACCCAGTGGCTTAAACTCATACCTGGTGCATGTGTGTGCATGCCCAGGATCCCGAGAGGAAAATGGAGGAGAAGGAATTGCGGTGTGGCCATCCCCCCTGGGGAGGTGATTTCTCACTTTCTGTCTCTCTCTTTCTGGTGAGCGCTCACGCCCTATAGCAAAAACCTCTAAAAAAAGAAAAAATCCTGGGACCAGCAGTTAGCATAGTGGTTATGTCACCAGACTCCATGTAGTCAACCGCAGTTCGAGTCCTGGACCCGGTGACTTAAACTCACGCTGGGCGCTTGTGCATGTATGTCCAAGATCCCAAGAGGAGAAGGGATTGCGGTGTGGCCATCCCCCTCTGGGGCCTGATTTTCCTCTTTCTGTCTCCGTGTCTCTCTGGTGAGCATATGCACCCTATTGTAAAAATGTTTCAAAAAGTAAAAGAAGGGAACCAGCAGTTAGTGTAATGGCTATGTCGCTGGACTCCCACGTAGTCGACTGCGGTTCACGTCCCGGACCCAGTGGCTTAAAACTCACGCCGGGCGCGTGTGCGTGCGTGCCCAAGATCCCGAGAGGAGAATGGAGGAGAAAGGATTGCGGCGTGACCATCCCCCCTGGGGGGTGATTTCTCGCTTTCTGTCTCTATGTCTCTCTCTGTCTGTCTGGCGAGCGCACGCGCCCTACAGTGAAAATCTCTCCCCCCCCCAAAAAAAAAAAAAAAAGTAAAAGATTTTAAATATTTTTTTAGTTCTTCTTATAGGGGGAAGAGGATTATAATAGTTTATGTTTCTTTTGATGGTTCTTTAAATTGAGAATTGCCATAAGTGGTTTTAACCTTATGATCAATATTATTAACACTGCTTAGCTTATTTTTTCTCTAACACATTTAAAATAATTTTCAATTATGTTGACTTTATTAGTTCACAAAAGGAATGAAAGCTTTATAGTCTTCAGAGTTAAATAGATAGCCCTTCAAAATCTGACCTAGTATGAGAATGTTGTATAATAATAGCAGCCTAAAAGTCCCTCTTAGGTTGCTTAGCAAAACTTAATACTAGCGTGCTAAAACTGTCTTCTTGACATGTTGAGTTGGTAGCAATTTAAACCGATAACAATTTGAATTCCTCTCATCTATGTACCTATAGAATAGTCATAATTGTGTGGATTATTGCCTGTCAAAGACCTGGAACTTTATTATTTTCTACTGTAAAATTAAAAAGCAATTAAGTGATAGAAATTATTTGAAAAGACCTAAAATATATATCCTATTATGAATGTGCATTTTTTTAAGAGAAAGAAGTTTGGGGATATTAATATTTTACAGACATTTGAAAGTCTTCAGAGATGTTTAAAAGTAATCAAATTTTTATATGTCTATCAAACTGTCATTGGCCATACTTAATATAACTCTCAATGCATAGCATTTAATTATTGCACTATGGGACTGACTTGAAAAGTCCTATTTAAAAATGGACTTTCAACCTGTATTTTAAAATATCACATTTGGGCCCAGCCACAGTGGCTCAGGGAGCAGGGACTCTGCTGTGTAGTGCCAGAAACCACGCAAAGGGCTCAAGGTTTGTGTTGCTGGGTATGCCCACCAACAGGTCCATGATCCTGGCTGACAGAAGGGCTGGGGGTGGGTTGTGGCATGAAGAGCTTGTGGAGAGTATCTTCCCCTTTCTCTCGCTCTCAGAAAATAAGTAAATAAACTTTAAAAAAACCACATTTTAAGAGAGTGTTACTATTTTAATATTTACATTTCTTTTGAAGTAAGATATAAATACAAATCTTGGGAGGGACTTTTGGAGAATGACATAGCATAACATCTGATACAGTTGATTACTATCAGTAATGTTCTTTGTCAAATGTATTTAGTGGAGATACGGTTTTGTTTACTAATAAAATTTACTATGTAGTTTTATTGAATAATGACTACTAAAATTAAATTTTAATAAATGTTATTTTTGTTTTATTTCAGAATAAAGTTCAAAGTACTTCTATAAATGTTTTTAAAAATAAACACCAAAAACCAAAATCTGGCAAATATATACCTTTTGGAATTAAAAAAAAGGATATAATTAATGTGGTCCAGGAACATCAGACAGCACTCAAAAATATTTATCCTCCCAAGGAGCTTTCCAAAAGTGAACATTTTGAAGAGCCCTCACAACGCACTTGTTTCAAAGAGCCCCACCTTTTTAGTATGAAAGAAAAGTGCAAGCCTATAGATATAATTATGAAAGGTAAGTTTTCGGTGGAATGAAGTTCAGAAATGAATAGGCAAAACTATTTTTGTCTCATATGTTTCTTGACAGAATTTCCATGTTCAGACAATACACTGAGCTTTCAATTTCAGTAATAAAAGGTAAGGAAACATGATTAGCAGAACTGTTAACCTATGAGGGCACTGGAAATTGAGAAAAGAGTATATCATTATCAATTTTTAATTTATCCCTAAAGATGGGACCTTTCACCATTGAGCACCAGGGAGCCAGCTTGCACAATCCAAAGCCAGTGTCATGGTGCAAGCTGCTTATGATGGCCAAGGAAGGGAAAAGCAGAAGATGAGCTCACAAATCAACTTCTCATCCACCTTGAGCTAGGAAATTAAGATATAGCAAGTGGACTAATGAAGGGGCCAGATCGCTAATATAGGGAAGGAGGAGTCAAAAACCTTCCTCTTTTTACTTTTTCCTCTTTTATAAGGTCATTTCCAGTGGTATTCCTGTTGATTGTAAACTGTCATCGTGCTGTTAGGTGTGTCATTTAGCATGTAAATGACATTATGATAAAGTTTTGGGTCTTCCAGAGGTCCTTCCGGTAGCCATCTTGAATCCTACTAGTCCATGCTGTTCTTAGAGGGAGAACATTATCTCACCCGCAGGCATGCACTCTGTTATTTAAAGGAAAACAGCATTTAGGGAAGGGCTGGTATGAGCATAGGCTATGTGGTAGGTAACGAGAAAGAAAAATTTAGGTGAACACAATTGGTTAGTCATGTCTTTCAGCTGTGATATTCTTTCTAATACAAATCCTCAGCGACTGTTTATTTGACTGTTACTAAAGTCATCCTGGGTTAATAGCCCTACTCTACCTATAGAGTAGTTAGCCTCTTTGTGACTGTATTCTTCTAAAACACTAAAAGATTTTTGGGAGTTATAGAGTTTTCCCTTGAGACAAATTATAATAAAGGTCTGTTCTCTATCAGGAAGCTGGTAAGGTGGAAACTAGAGGGCTGTTTAAATAAGATGGTAGTGTGTTCTTGAGACCAATGGCTTGAATAAACGACTTCTTACAACGTGTTCGTAGTTTTAGTTTTCATAGCCTCATCTTCACTTTTTCTTCTTATTTATTCCTTAAGATGTTCATTTATTCATTTGTAATTTTTTCACTCAGCAAAGAGTATCTACTCTGAGGTACTATGTTAAGAGCTGGAGGAACAAAATTTAAAAGCCTCAGAGAGTAGATGGAGATAAACACCGGCAAATTTATCATACAAAGTGACAACTAGTATAATAGAGAAAAATGCCAAGCATTATGGAAACACCACAGAGTAACCAAGGGCCAGAATGGAAATTTATCTAAAGAGATCTCATTAGATACTGCTTTTAAAGAAGACATTTCTTTAGCGGTAGGTGAGGATAGGAGAGGTCATTGTGAGCAGTGAGTGGAAAATATAGTAAAGCTCAGAAGGGTGAAAGAGCATGAAATATTTTGGCGAAGGTGTGATGTGTTAGGAAATGAAGTTGTGTGGATGGGTGGAACTAGATCTTGAAGGGAGTTTAATAACAGGCCTAAGATTTGCAACTACGTGTAGCGGAAAGAAACCAATAGTGATTTTCTATCTGTGGGTGGAGAAAGGGTAAGTTATGGCCAGATCTTTCTGTTAGAAAAATAAAGCTGGCAGCAGAGCTATGTAGGGAATAATGAGAGAGAAGTGAGGAGATTGTCCAGGAAAGAGAGGGTCGGGTAAGAAATGGCAGGGGCTCAGGCCGGGGCGGTAGTGATGCATACAGTGTAGGAGGGTGCTGCATCAGCATTTCTGAAAGTGTAGTCTTCACCGCACTGGCCCTGAGAAATATACCTTGACAAACAGTTCATTAGTCAGATGATTTTGAAGGGAAAAAAAAAAAGAGGATATGATAGTCCCTCTTTGGAGATTCATAGTGATCCATTAATATATCAGAAGCTCTGAGAAATATTGTAGAAAAGAAATCTGTTTACTTTTTAAAAAAGTTTTAATATTGTTTGTTTATTTATTTATTTTAGCTTTTTGCCATAGGACATGTATGCTTGCCAGAAAGAGATAGTGAGAGGGAAAGTGAAAAAGTCACCCCCGACGGGTGATAGCCACACTGTGGTCCCTTCTCCTCCATTCTCCTCCTGGGATTTTGGGCATACACACGCTACCTTGTTTTTGAAGGTACTGGGGCTGGAACTCACACCTTGTATCAGCCTTGTAGGATCCAGCACCTTTAACCACCATATCACTGGCTGGCTGGCCCCATTTGTTTTTGTTTTCTTTTAGCTTTTTGCCATAGGATGCTCGGAGTTATGAGAGAGAGAGAGAGAGAGAGAGAGAGAGAGAGAGAGATAGATAGATAGATCACCCTACAAGGGCGATGGCCATGCTGCAATCCCTTCTTCTCCACTCCCCTCTTAGGATTTTAGGAATGTATGCATATGTGCCTAGGTGTTTTTCAAGCCTCCAGTTCTGTGACTCAGACTGTGGAGTCAACCATCTGGGATCCAGCTGCCTTAACCACCATGCCACCTGTTGGCCCCTCATTTACTTGTTTTAACCTTAGTATCCCTACTTTATTTGACCAAATGACCTCTATTATTTTCATTGTTATACCAATTAATGTCTTGGAGACTATTTTCTGTTTAATATATTGTGGGAAATTCAGAATTAGAAAGTTATTTTAGGATGAATTAACAGGTCTTTGGAAAAATCAACTGGTTGTGTAATGAAGATATTGAAAAAGATACTGTGGTTTCTAGAGTGGCTCTGGTGAGGGGTGGGAGGAAGCCCTGGGTTTTTGCTTTTGCCAGTTTCCATGGTATAAATATTCTCAATACAGCCAACGTGAGACTACCAATGGGACCTCACAGATTATGGGGATTGGGGAGAGATGCAGACAGTCAGCTTTCCTGAGCAGTTCTGAGCTTATTTCACCACACCTTTGCTGAAATAAATCTGTTTCTACCTTACCAAGTTCACAGCAGCATATAGGCCATTGTGTCAAACACATTTCAGACACACCTGAAATCCTCTTGGCTGTTCTTATTCTAGCTATTTCAGTCCCTGCATTGTTGACTGTTTTTCTGCTCCAGGCTTCCCTGACTCCTTGCTGGCATGAGACACCGTAAGATTAAGTTTAGCACTGACACGTGATCAACCCAAAAGACAGTTGAGAGCTGATGGATAAATATTTCCTCCTGTATTTCCTGGGCAGAAGAGTCCCATTTACAGTCTGGAAAGCTTCCTACAAAGTTCTGAACAGTTCAGTAGCCAAAGTTTTACAGTGATGTTTATCTCAAAAAAAGAATCATTGCAATAGCTTTTGCTTCTCATTTGTCTTATCCCCCTGCCCCCTTCATTCCTGCTCCTAGATGACTTTCTTAAAATATTTCCTTAGAGCTGGTCCTGTAGTGGAGTGGTTAAACACTGTGCTGAGGGAACTGGATTTCACCTTGCTGATTGCAGTTCAAATCCCAGTCCTGGTAATAGAAAACATGCCAAGTACATGTGCACAGGTCTCCAAAATCCAGACAGGATGGTGAAGTGAGGGGAATAGAATTGTGGTGTGACCACGCCCCATTGGAGAGTGCTCTCACTTTCACTCGCCTCTTCCTTTCCGGTGAATACATATGCCTTTGGCAATAAAAAAAATGTTACTCCTTTAAGAATATTTTGGTGGTAGAATAGTCGATACTTGCTGAAAGATTAAATGTGAACATTAGGGGAGGGAGAATTAAGTATGACTCAGGCATGAGTCTTGAACAACTACTGGTAGATGAGAATTACTACTTTCTGAGATGGGGAAGAGAGGGAGATGTAGTTTCAAATGGGCAGAAACCAAGAGCTGAGATTTCGACATGTTCAATTCGAAGTACTTATTGGACATACAAATGGAAATGTCAAATCGTCTCCTGTGCAAATATCAACTCATAGGGAAGCTTGGTGCATGAAAACATTTTTGTTGTTATTTTTAACTTGCCAGGAGATACATGCACTCACTGGAGCGAGGCAGAGAGAGAAAGAGAGCGAGAAAGTACCCCAGGTGGGGGATAGTCATACTGCAAACTTTCCTCCTCCATTTCTTCTTCCTTTCAGGGTTTGAGTATGTACATAAACATGCTCAACTTGTTTTTCAAGCTTCTGGATTTGGGACTCGAACCATATAATTGGCCATGTGGGATCAAGCTGCCTCAGCCACACACCACTGACTAGTCTGGTTGGAGCATTAATGTACAGATCAGTACTATCCAATAGAAATAAAATATCAATGTCAAAATAAAAAAAATAAAAGGTTATACTGGACACATTAAAAAAGTAACAATGGGCCAGAAGGTGGCATAGTGGGTAAGGTGTTGAACTCCCACATGGCTGACCTCTGAGTCCCAGACCTAGCGGCTTTCTCACTTTCTCTCTCCTCTCTCTATCTTTCTGGTGAGTGCATATAACCTATAGCAAATTAATAATAATACATAAAATTAAATAAATATTTTAAAAAATATTAAACACAGGGGCCAACCCTGTAGTGCAGTGGTTAAGTGCTGCACAAAAGCTGGATACTATATTGCTGACCAGAGCTTGAGTGCTGGCCCCAGTGGCTTGAAAAACATGTGAGGTGGGGACCAGCAGTTGGTGTAATGGCTATGTTGCTGGACTCTCATGTAGTTGACTGTGGTTCGAGTCCCGGACCCAGTGGCTTAAACTCACGCCGGGTATATGTGCGTGTGTGCCCAAGATCCTGAGAGGAGAATGGAGGAGAAGGGATTGTGACATGG